TGAGTGTTAATGAGGGCACTTGTGTTGAGCACTAGGTGCTCTGTGTAAGTGATGAATCACTAAATTCTGCTCTTGAAACCAGTATTACACTATATGTTAACTAGAATTTAAATAAAAACTTAGAAAAGAAAAAAAAAAGGAAGAGCATATGAGCATCTATGACTGCAGTCCTGGAAATTGGTCTAGAACTGCTGTTTGGGGGTGGCTGACAGGAGCCTCCCATTCTGTTCTCATTCCTCCGAAATGCGGTGGGCAATGGCCGGAGCAAGGGGCTGGAAGGCAGTAGGCTGGGGCAGTGGAACAGGGCTCTGGGGAATGGCCTCAGGGCAAAGCCCTCTCTGCCTTGGAGACTGAAATCCTGCTGACGCCATCTAGGAAGAGCCTCAGGAAAGGGGGTCACGCAGAAAGCTTAGGAGGAGTCCCGGTGAAGAAGTCCATCGTTACTCCTGGCCTCCCCACAATCGATCCCCTGTCAACTATGTTAGGTGAGTTAAGGTCCTAAGCAGCACATGTGGTAGGAGCTGAACCAATGAGAAGGGGTGACCAAAAATCCATGTCTGAGCCGAATTCCTGTTCCTTGCTTCTGTCACCGGTCAGACATGATCCCTGACTTCACAGCTGAGAGGACCCGGTTCAGGATCTCCCTCTGCCTTGACATTGTCACGAAATTTCAGTTCAGTCCTGTCTCTTAGGCATAAAAGAAAGACATGGGGCTCTGTGGCTTCTATGCCCAACTCATTCACTCGTTTGGGAAAATGGTACCTTCCAGGCCGCCCATGGCTAGAAAGTCTGGAGGACAGTTAAAGGGGGAAGTGGGGCTGGGTCAGGAGGCTGATTTGGGCTGAGGAAGGGGGAGGGGGCCAAGGGTTTCTGGGGTGAGACCCAGCCATGCAGGGCAGTGTGGTGGGGTGGGTCCAGCCGCTAGGGGGAGCGTGGGTCTGAGGCAGGCCTAGGAGGACTGCAGGCCAGGAGAGCTAGTCAGCCAGACCCCATGTCCCCTGCAGGCCTGGGAGTGAGGCAGGTTTGCTGTCACGTGCAGAAGAAATGGTCACAGGAGAAGAAATGGGACTGGACATCCATCACACACTTCCTTCTTCCTGCCTGTGTGGGAGCTCGGAGGGAGCCCTGTCACAGAGCAAGTCTCCCTCTTCTCATGAGCTCACCTGGGATCAGATGATCCCACTCGGGTGGGCTCCCTGCTGAGCAGGGCCAGGGAAGTGCTGGTTGGTGGTTGGCAGAACTGGCGGAAGAGGATATTGCTGACTGCAGGGAACTTTCTTTGGGATCGGTGGGGGCGGTGGGGAGGTGGGTTCTGTTTTTATTTTCTTTTATTTATTTCTTTCTTTACTGTTTGAGGTCAACAGCCCTGAAAATAACTTTTTTTAAAATTTATTTTATTATGTTATGTTAGTCACCATATATACATCACCAGTTTTCGATGCAGTGATCCATGATTCATTGTTTTCACCCTCCTTAATACCTATCACTGGGCTAACCCATCCCCCACCCCCCTCCCCTCTAAAACCCTCAGTTTGTTTCTCAGGGTCCATAGTCTCTCACGGTTCATCTCTCCCTCCAATTGCCCCCCCTTCATTTTTCCCTTCCTTCCCCTAATGTCCTCCATGCTCTTCCTTATGTTCCACAAATAAGTGAAACCATATGATAATTGACTTTCTCTGCTTGACTTATTTCACTTAGCAGAGTCTCCTCCAGTCCCATCCATGTCGATGTAAAAGTTGGATATTCATCCTTTCTGATGGCTGAGTAATATTCCATTGTATATTCCATTCTTCTTTATCCATGCATCTGTTGAAGGGCATCTCGGCTCTTTCCACAGTTTGGCTATTGCGGACATTGCTGCTATGAACACTGGGGTGCATATGGCCCTTCTTTTCACTACATCTGTGTCTTGGGGTAAATACCCAGGAGTGCAATTGCTAGGTCATAGGGTAGCTCTATTTTTAATTTTTTGAGGCACCTCCACACTGTTTTCCAAAGTGGCTGTACCAACTTGCATTCCCACCAACAGTGTAAGAGGGTTCCCCTTTCTCCACAACCTCTCCCAATATTTGTTGTTTCTTGCCTTGTCAATTTTTACCATTCTAACTGCTGTAAGGTGTATCTCAATGTGGTTTTGATTTGAATTTCCCTGATGGCTAACGATTTCCTTTTCCCTGCATCCCCTGCCCTTTCAGGGTCCTCCTGCAGGGGCAGGGTGAGCCCAACCTCAGGCTGACTACAAAGGAGCTGAATGTGGACTCAAGTCCATTGCCTTCTCCATCTGCAGACACAGAGCATGGGTACAGAGTGAGCCTCTGGCCAGGGCAAGAGCAGGGCAGGAGCAGGACAGCATGTCCTACAACCTCCCATGGAGGAAGGGACAGCAGGGTGGAAGGGCTTTGAACAGGAGCCAGGAGAGTGGGGAGAAGGTGCAGACTCTCAGCTCCACGAGCACGGAGGGCTGGGAACCTGCTTCCAGGGCTCAAATATGGAGGCGGGAGGAAAGAATGGCTACAGAGCACATCCTCTCTATCTGTGGGAGGGAGAGGTGGCCACAGGTGTCCAAGGTCTGTCTGGGGCCCACGCTGAGATCCTCAGGTGAGAGGTGTTGAAGGGCTAAGCAGCTGGCCAAAGCTTCTGGCTGAGTCTGGAAGGCAGACTCTGGTGTTAACCTTTTTAAAGGGAGTTACCAGGGCACCAGCTCCTGAACCTCCCGCCATCTCTGGGCCTCACATTCTAGGAGGGGAAGAGAGGTCCGGTGATAAAGGCACCCTTCCCACAATAACAAATCACAACCTCACACATACCGTGTCAACTATGACAGTTGTTAGGAACGTGAACTTGTGGTATATGCACAGAAGTATTCTCGTAGGCAGGTAATGGCAAATGTTCACAGTTTTTCTCAGATTTAGAAGCACAAAGGGAGTTTTATGTACTTCTTAGAAGTTTGGTGTGTTTCCACAATTTCTGTTACTTCTATTCCAAGTAGAATGTTGTTCAAAGTTGCCTGGATGAACACAAGGAGAGAGACACGATGCACAAAGCTTGGAATTCATGGCCGATTTTAATCCCTGGTTGCCCAGATCATGGTGCAGGAGCATCTTCCCAGCCAGAACACGGGGTCCTTTGCTTCCAAGCATAAGCTTGGTTCTCCCAACTCAGACCCTCCGGACTTCTATCCATGGATTGGTGCCTGTGTCTCACATGCTCCCAATGCAAGACTCATGAATGTGGTCCCTTAGATCCCAGGCAGGCTTGCAGGACGCCCTAGTTTCAGTGGGAGTTAGTTTGTGAATATTGTCTCTGCCAGGCAGAGAGAGATTCTTTTTTTATTTTATGTTTTAATGGAGACAGACTTTTTCTTACCTGTTCTCCCTACAGTCATCTCCAATCCTGGGAACGCTTCTCCAGATTGTAAAGAGAAGGAAACAGCATGGTAGAGTGGAAAGATAATGGCCAACCCAATCAAACAGATATGCACCTTGTTCCCTGGGGAAAAATACTTTCTAAGTGCCCTTGGGCTTCAACTGGAATATGAGGTCATTTCTTTCTAACCTATGTGATTGTTCAGAGAATTCAAAGAAATCAAGTGCATAACATGCCCAAAGAATGTTTGACACCAAGTAGGGTCGTCCTGACCATTATCCACATGTGAACTTCTTTTTTTTTTTTTTTAGATTTTATTTATGAGAGAGAGAGGGAGAATGAAAGCATGTGTTGCAGGGGAGGGCCAGAGGAAGAGGGAGAAGCAGACTCCCCAGCAATCAGGGTGCCTGATGTGGGGCTCAATCCCAGGACCCTGAGGCCACGACCCTAGCCGAAGGCAGATGCCTAACTGACTGAGCCACCCAGGTGCCCCGTCATATGTGAATTTCTTAAGTCCTAACAACTACATCTGATGTACCTCTGGCAGTACCTCTTGTTTCCACCTGTGAGGTCCCAGAGGCACAGAGAAGGGAGTAACTTGTTTAAGATTGCATAGTAGGCAGGTAGCACACTTAACCTTCCATCCCAGATGTGCGGGGGAAGATTATGTGGGGGATCACACTTGGGGCAGCCTGTGTCTGGCTCTGTCTGAGAATGAGTCCACTCAAGATAAATGGGCCCCACACTCACTCTTTCCCGCAAGATGGGAACCTGCCATTATCAGTGCCTGTCTTCTTTGTGGTGACCACCAACCACAAGGTAGGCAAGGAGTGTCATCCTGTGAACTGGGAATTATTGTGCCTCTCAGGTTAACCAGGCCAACGATGCATTCATGTTTTCATCAGATAGTTTTGATTATCTCATAGGTGCAAGGCCTCTTTCTAGGTGCTGAGGAGAAAGCAGTGAACACAACACAGAAATATCTTGCATTCATGGCACTTTCATCCTTGAGAGAGGAAAGAGACAAGAAACATAAATAAGGAAAAGCCTTCAAATGACAAACCAGGTTAAACATGTGGGAGAAAACAGGAAAGGGACATGGCGAGCATGGTCAGGGAGTTTTGCACATATGTCCAAATATTTCCTGTTTACCCATGAGTACATTGGCAAGTCTCACTAATCAAGTGACACTTAGTAGTTGAAAGAGGGAGGTAAAAAGGCAGAGAACTGATGAGAAAACTCCTTTCCAGGCCTCCCTGCTGCTTTCCTTCCCTCATACCCCATTTCTAGTGACTAATCCAAATATGTGTTGCTCTCTCCCCATCATCCCCAGTGTAAGTCTCTCCCACTGTAACCATTTCTGGTCTTTGTCTCCCTTGGACAAATTAATGAATAAAGCTCAAGGGAAACAGATCATCTAAACCTCTTCACCCCTCTTTCTTGAAGTGTCCCATCCATCTCTCAGAGGGGTGCTACACTGGGCAGTCGGACCACATCTGGAGTATCAGGCTCCGGTCCTGATGACCAGTGTCCCAGATGGTTCTACTTGAAAGGGACTGAGCAATTCCCTCACAGATGCTCAGTGATCCCAGCTTTATCATATGTGAAAGGCAGTCCTGTGGATGTGGGGTTAGACACGCTCTTTGTAGGCCAACATCCAGAACTACAAGCGAAGTGAAGAGGTACTAGCGAGAGAGATTCTCTGCCAGTGTTAATTAGTACCTTATGCTAGATCTAATAAAATGAAATGGGGTGTCTGGATGGGCTGAGTTGTAAGTATCTGGAGGAATGCAAATGCAGACAGGATGTACCGTCTTCTGGGAACATTGTAGAGAGGATTCAGGTGGCTTGATCTGAAATTTATGATTCTGTGATCTAGTGGGATGCCTGAGGGCACGTGATGGGAATAAATAAAGCTGGAGCCTCCCTCTGGGACCGTCTCAGGAATGGGCCCCAGGATGTTCCATTTGCTTCTGCTGAGCATATTCACAGTGCTCTTCATGGATGAAGGTAAAGCCTGGTGAGGGAGGCAGTGATGGGTGGTGAGAGCTTATGTGGGGAGAAAAGGGAGGTTTCTAACCTTGACTTTTTGGGCTGCTGTAAAATGGCTTAAGGAGATTTTTTTCTTCTCTTCATAGGAGACAGAGTCCTGACATCGAAATGTATGGTGCAGTTGGTTTGCAATTTTTGGATAAATAATGCCACAATGAGAGGGGACATTCCTGATTTTTTTCAAACATTGTCTCTATATCCTCCCTGACTACATTCTGCTATCCTCACTCACTGTTCTTGTGTCTGTTTTCTGCCCCCAGCCTTGGGTGAAGGGAGGAGGAGGCTTGAATCCCTGGGGTCATAGCTGTCAGCTATTCAAGGGAGTAAGGACCCCTGGCAGAAGTTGGGAAGGGTGTTAACTTCCTTTTTGTGAGGTCTGCACCTCACCAGTGTATGTGTTGATAGTGGGGTAGGCTTCTGAAGCAGAATTATTTTCCCTAGAGCTCTGCTTTAAATTTTTCCTCTATTTAGTCATTCGATTTTGCTATCAGTGTGCCCACTTTAATGGATACAGATGCCTCACTGGCTTGAGAAGGTGCTGGAAGATCAACCTAACAGTTTACAACAGGAGTTGTTCCATAGATCACTACTACTATAGTGATCGAATTACAGGTAAGTGTAGGTTATAGAGAGACACAAAACGTTACCAATGGTGCCCACCTTCCCTGGAGTCAAGGTGTAGAGGGAAACTGGGATCACAGGAGAGACTGGAGAAGGTGGAATTCTCCATATACCCACCTGGGGTGGTGCCTGTGTGGGAGGCAGATGTCTTTTGCCTGGTTCTATCTAGAGAGACCTAGATGAGATGTAGGCACAGCTTTGGGGGCTCATTCCGGTCCACAGAAAACCAATGAGGTTTTGGAGAGATGTCATTGCTAGGAAAATGGTGTGATTAAGCGAGGTGATCACATTTGCTTTTTTTCTCTCTTTAGGGAGATCTCTGTATCGTTACACACAACTGTCTTGTAAACCTTGTGAAGAGGGAATGGTCCAAGTATACCATGACTTACTGAGAGAAACACACTGCTGCAATCATAATGACTTTTGTAATAATGGCCACATAAATTTAGATACTACAGTTTTATTTGGAAAAGGGATAGATAACATGACTGATGTGATACAAAACAGAAGATAAACACATGCTTAAGATTTTAAACCATATGGGAACACATGTCTTCTTAAATAATACTTTCCCCTTCCGCTAAAATAGAGAAAGAGTATAGGGGCACCTGACTGGCTCAGTCTGAAGAGCATGGGACTCTTGATCTCAGGATTGTGAGTTCAAACCCCATGTTGGGTGTGAGATTACTTAAATAAACTTTTAAAAAGAGAAAAGAAAAAGATATAGTATAAAAGGGAATAGACCATAAAGTAGAAAAGATACACACAAATACACACACACCATAAAACATTATAACAGCATTGATTAAACATATCAACCAAATTAACACTCTGATGATTTAGAAATATGACCAAGTCAAAACAATTCAAAATGTGTAAATATAAATGAATGGGAAAATACATATTAAAAACCCATATGGATTATGAGCCTATTTATGGGTTTAAAATCATCAAAAGAGATAATATACTTTACATTATTAAAGTCACTAATCTACAATAAAGATACAGATTATTAAAAACAGGCAGCCAATACCACAGCAACAACTTTTCTTAACAACTCTCCTATAGAAATTATAGGAGATACGATGAGAAAAAGAAATGCATGCTAATCACCAGATCATGTGGGTAAATAATTAGCAAGGGGATTGAAGACATATACAACATGACTATTAAGGTAGATCTTATAAACCTATATCTAATCCTGAACCCAGAAATAGAGAACATGGCTTTTCAAATGCACATGGAACATTCACAAAGATTGGTCACATATATTTGCCCTGTGGAGGATAGAGTTGATTTACATCTGAACTGTAAAACGTCCATATTTTTCTCAGTACATGTTTGGAATTTTGGCCAGGATAAAAACCTTTATGATGTGCTCCTTAAAGTCTGAAACTCCCCTGGTGACTCCCAGCATCATTTTATTTACTGATACAAATGAACTGTTTTCCAGCCTGGCTTGATCACGTGGTCAGAGACATTATAACCCCACCCCTCCCCACCAACCACATGCACCCTCATTAAGAACTTCTGTTTAACATGAGAGACTGTGGACTCTGAGAAACAAACTGAGGGTTCTAGAGGGGAGTGGGGTGGGGGCATGGGTTAGCCTGGTGATGGGTATTAAAGAGGGCACGTATTGAATGGAGCACTGGGTGTCACACACAATGAATCATGGAACACTACATCAAAAACTAATTATGTAATGTATGGTGATTAACATAACAATAAAATTTTAAAAATTAAAAAAAAAGAAACAACAACAAAAAGAACTGTTTAAAATAGCCCTGAAGCTGAGATTCCTCACACAGATTTTGATTGTGCAATCCAGTGACGGAGAGCCATCTGTATGTAAATGAGGACTCCTGGGAGCTTGTGCATGGAATGTCTCTTGGATTTCCCAATTTTTGTCCGCACTCTCCTTTTGCTGCACTGTATCCTTTGTCTTTAAATAAAAGCTGTATTCAATATGCACTATAAATATGTTCCTAGAGTAAGTGTGTTCTATGAAGTCTGATGAGGTTTTCCAGATATCTGAATTTGGGAAATCTTTGCAAGGCCTCAAAGAAATATTCAATAAATGCCAAGAAATAGAAATAATATAAGCGGTATTCACTTACCACATGCAATAAAGTAGAAGTTAAAAACAAGACCAGAAAGGTACCCCAACCTGGAAATACAGAAAGATGTTATCAAGGAGCTCTTAATAGGAAAATCCAGGCAAAAAAAAAAAAGCAGAATTTTTTAAAATTTTTATTTATTTTTATTAACATATAATGTATTATTTGTTTCAGGGGTACAGGTATGTGATTCATCAGTCTTACACAATTCACAGTGCTCACCATAGCACATACTCTCCCCAATGTCCATCACCTAGCCACCTCATCCCTCCTACCCGGCCCCTCCCCTCCAGCAACCCTCAGTTTGTTTCTTGAGATTAAGAGTCTCTTATGGTTTGTCTCCCCCTCTGGTTTTGTCTTGTTTCATTTGTCCCTCCCTTCCCCTATGATCCTCTGTCTTGTTTCTCAAGTTCCTCATATCAATGAGATCATATGATAATTGTCTTTCTCTGATTTACTTATTTCGTTTAGCATAATACCCTCTAGTTCCATCTATGTCATTGCAAATGGCAAGATCTCAATTTTTGATGGCTGCATAATATTCCATTGTATGTATATACCACATCTTCTTTATCCATTCATCTGTTGATGGACATCTAGACTCTTTCCATAGTTTGACTATTGTGGACATTGCTGCTATAAACATTGGGGTGCACATAGCCCTTTGGATCACTACATTTGTATCTTTGGGGTAAATACCCAGTAGTGCAATTGCTGGGTCATAGGGTAGCTCTATTTTCAGCTTTTTGAGGAACCTCCATACTGTTTTCCAGAGTGGCTGCACCAGCTTGCATGCTCATTAACAGTATAGGAGGGTTCCCCTTTCTCCAAAAAATGCGGAATTTCTTAACAGAAAACATATCAAAAACTATGGAATACAGCTATAGCATTTATCAGAGGAAAATTCATAGCATTAATTACACATAAAATTTAAAAAGTAATTAATTAAACACTCAACTCAAAATAGCAGACCAAGTGTATTCATTCCATATGGCCGTGTACTTTCTGTGGCTGTGTACCATAGACTTAGTGGCTTAAACACACACATTATCTCACAGTTTCTATAGGTCAGAAGTCCAGACAGAGCTTAGCTGGGTCCTCAGCTCAGAATCTCACAAGGCTGCAGTCAAGGGGTAGACCAAGCCATGTTCTCATTTGAAAACTTAATTTAGGAGGAATTCACTTCTAAACTCTTCTTGGCCTGTTGGTAGAATTCATCTCTCTGTAGTAGTATAACTGAGTTTCCTATTTTCTTTCTGGCTCTTTGCTAAGGCCTCTTTCAGCTCCAAAAGGCCATTCATTCATAGTTCTCTACCACGTGGCTATCCCCATAGTCAATTTACATCACTCCTTCTTCAAGGCCAGTGGGAGTGTCTCTCTCTTGTTTGCTAAAATCCGGTCTTATATAATGTAACATAATAATATGAATAATATTCCATCACCTTTGCTACATTCTATTGGTTAGAAGCAAGTCACAAGTTCTGACCACACTCAAGGGGAGGGTGTTATTCAAGGGGTGACTCATTGGGTATATCCCATACCTTAGGATATGTCTGCCACATGTAGAAAACAGGAAATAAATACAACAAATAAAAAGTTTAACTAAGCAAATCACAAAGTTAACCTGTTATTTAAAAAGGAGACTGCACAAATACAAAATATTAGATACTGCGAAGGAGAAATAAACATCCAAACTGGGGAAATTTTAAAAAATACTTACTTTAAATTTCAAAATTAATTTGTATAATCCTATGCAAATCAATATAAACATCTAGCTGAAATAAGTAATTTTCTAGGAAAATAGAATTTTTACCCAAACTGACCCAAGCAGAATTAGAAAGGCTACACCAACTCATTTCTATTTTAAAAAATAGGGAAAATTGGGGTGCCTGGGTGGTGCTGTCGGTTAAATGACTGACTCTTGCTTTCGACTCAGGTCGTGATCTCAGGGACCTGAGATCAGGCCCTGCTGCAGGCTCTGTGCTCAGGGCGGAATCTGCTTGAGATTCTCTCTCCCTCTCCCTCTGGCCCTCCCACTCATGTGCTTGATCTCTATATCTCTCTCTCTTTTTAAAATTTTTTATTGTTATGTTAATCACCATACATTACATCATTAGTTTTTGATTATATCTCTCTCTTTAAAATAAATAAATCTTTAAAAAATAAAAAATAGAGAAAATTATAAAAGAGTTCCTGTCACCTCCCAAAAAAGCACTACATGTATATGGTTTCACGGAAGAATTCCAAAAAATCTTTTTTTTTTTTTTTTTTTTAGGGAGGTTAGAGGAGAGGGAGAGAGAGAATCTTAAGCATGTTCCATGCCCAGCATGGAAGCTGCTGTGAGGCTCGATCCCACAATCCTGAGATCATGACCTGAGCCAAAATCAAGAGTTAGATGCTTAACCGACTGAACCACCCAGGTGCCCCCCCAAAAAAACTAATAAGTACATGATTCCAATGCTACTTAAACGATTTCAGAGTATAGATAAGGAAAGGAAACATTCTTTTTATTAAACAAATAATATCCAAATCCAAATGAGTTTATGTAATACAGAGCATTATAAAAATCTCACTTTTTTTGGCTAACTGAACATAATAATAAAAAAAAAGAATTGGAAGAGATTGTCATTAAAAAGACTCGATGATGAAAAAAAGTCTATCTTGTCTGACATAAAAAAATTTCACTTATAAACATCAATTTAAAAATCTTTGACAAAGTATTAGCAGACAGATTTCAATATCAGATAAAAGGATAACATAAAATGAATTATTTCGTTTCTGTTGAGTAACAAACCATTCCAAAACTCAGTGGCTTAAAATTATAAATTATTTTCCTGTGTCTGAGGAATTCAGATGATCCCGATTTGCTCA